TTTTTGTCTATTTTAGTACCATAATTAAAGATGGGGAAAAGGAATTACGACCAGTAGGGGAGAAGGGAAAAACATAATATCCCTTAATTTCTTTACTTTTTTACGGCATTTAATTCAAGAGGGAATACCCTTGTTATTTTATGTTCCCGGCAATGAAATTAAAAACATAGAAAAATATTAAAAATTGTAAAAGAGAAAAGAAACAAAAGGAATTCGGCCATTTATTTAAATTTTCTCGAAATTTAATTTTGGGGAACTTATAGTTAATTTACTATTTCCGACAATGGAATTAAGGAAAGGGAATCATGATGAAAAACGATGAAAGGGACGAGAACCCATGATTATTGGGAGATTGACCTAATTTCGCCTCGATTACCCGCCATCAGCTCTGACTCCAGATTGATCATTTTCCCCGGATTTTAACAAGATAACACTACTGCCGATGGTCGAGGTTCCCTGCGACTCTTTCCTTGGTGTGCTTGATTACTAACATTACCGCAGTTAAGATGTTCTGAGAGCAGGAGTCGCATGGACAGCATGGGGTGGTGCTGCCTTGGGTCGACTATGGTGTTTGGTTCGGTACGGATACGAGGGTCGTTACGGAGTGGCTACGTCCTACGGTGTCTGACRTGCTTCAGGTACGGTGTGCSCCCGGTGACAGYTGTCTCACTACGGTGACTTATTTTCAGGTTTGGGACARCTGCAGTGATTTATTYTCAGGACCGGGGCCACTACRWCAGTTATTCYAGGCGGCAGTKTGTTTTMAGGTYCGGAAAYRTTGCGGCATTCTATATCAGGTTCGGGACAGGTTATCATGGCATGATTGTACGGGTTCGGCATYCGCATGGCACAACAGCCCGGTACTGGATTTYGGGTTTGGTCAGGTTCGGTGRCATCGCGGTGTTTCGTTTCAGGTWMGACRCCCTCACGACAATTTATTTCGGAACCTCTGCGGTGATTTATTTTCAGGTCCGTGATCATTGCGATGGTTTACTTCAGGTTCGGTATTATTACCGCGCCGCTGCATCTTCCCGTGTTCAACATGTTTCAGGTACGGTATTGGTTCGGCATTGGCGTGGTACACGCCACAGCATCATTTTCAGACTTGGTACTGGATCGGTATCGACACGGCGCGAGGCACGGGATCCCCGGATGGTTATATCAGGTTCGGCTTCGGTATGGTAAGAATTACAGCAAGCCTGAYTGAGTGATCCGGGTTTGACATTGACAGGTACGGATTGCTGAGATATAACGTYGAGACAAGTTCTAGTTGGCTAGTTCAAGGTTCGGAATTGGTATGGTGACGTCGCAACTTGTTCCATGGGACACCGCAACGGGGTACCACTATTTTCGTGTGTGTACTAGCCTGGGACACTTACGCACGCTGATCCAGCGATCGGTCGGAGATTGCCACATTTGCTCTGGTTCTATGGGACTTGGTACCGTCAAACTGCCGGTATACGGGTAGTATGGTCAGCGGCAGATAGAAGTGTTAACCTTTAGACATATGCAGACTAAAGGGGGGTTGGCTGCAGAGCTGTTTTTTTTTTTTTTGGTGGGATTGAGCTCAGCTTGCCTGCCGAAGATCACTGGTACTGCAGGGTCTGAAGGGCCACGCGGTTTCGCAAGGTACCGTGCGGAAACTGGCAGTACAGGTGGATCCGCATGGGGGCCCCTGCCCCGACGCCATGGCCACTACGGGCCTAAGTGCTTAGTCGCTCAGATATCACTGACCCGCTAAAGCCCATGGCAAGGAGGGGGATGTAGGGGACTATCTCGGCTCGGAACCATTGCGAAACTCGTCGGAGCTGTCTACGCCAGTGGGCTGGCGCTGGTGCCTGGGTACAGTGGACGCCGAGCCTGTGAGACCGGTACCACTGTTTTCTTTTTCCTCCGTGGCGCGGCGGACTATTTCCTGCACACTTGCACTCCGAGAAGGCCCTGGTCAGTCAGACCATGGGACTGAAGGGGATATAGGGGAGAACAGTGAAGGGAACGGGATTTTATGCCAGGTGTGCCCGGCGTCAAGCAGTTGCAGAGTGGGAGACGAGCTCGAGGTGGAGACGCGTCGGCGCTCAGGCGGTTACTTGAGAGTGAGAGACTGCGTGAGAGAGAGAGCGGACAGGGTGTGAGAGAGAGAGCGGACTGAGTGAGAGAGAGAGAGAGAGAGCGGACTGAGTGGAGGAGAGAGAGAGCGGACTGAGTGGAAGAGAGAGACAGCAGACTGAGGGAGAGAGAGAGGGAGCGGACTGAGTGGAAGAGAGAGAGAGTAAACTGAGAGAGTAGAGAGCGGACTGAGTGAGAGAGACAGAGAGAGGAAGCTAGAGAGAGATACTGCACAGTGTGAGAGAGAGACTGTGCAGTGAGAGAGTGAGGAAGAGACTGTAACTATGAGAGATGTGTGCTTGAGAGAGCAAAAGAGGGAGTGAGAGAGAGATAGACTGTCCGGCATTCCCGCTGCCGCTGCTAGCGGGAACGATATACAATCAACCATCCCACTGCTAGTGGGAACGGGGCTAATTAGTGGATTTCAGATCTGACAATCCCGTTGCTAGCAGGAACGGTGAACAATCAACCATCCCGCTGCTAGCGGAAACGGGGCTAATTAGTGAATTTCAGATCTGACAATCCCGATGCTAGCGCGAATGGTATACAATCAGGGATCCCGCTGCAGGTGGGAACGCTACTCAATCAATTTCAGTGTGATCATCCCGCTGCTAACGGGAACAGTATACAGTCAGGCATCTCGCTGCAGGTGGGAACGATACTCAATCAATTCTAGTGTGATCATCCGACTGCTAACGGGAACGGGATACAATCAGGCATCCCGCTGTAGGTAGGAGCGGTATTCAATCATCTTCAGTGTAACCATCCCGCTGCCAGCGGGAACGGGACTCATTAGTGAATTTCAGATTTGACAATCCCGCCGCTAGCGGGAACGATATACAATCAGGCATCCCGCTGCAGGTGGGAACGCTACTCAATCGATTTCAGTGTGATCATCCCGCTGCTAACGGGAACAGTATACAGTCAGGCATCCTGCTGCAGGTGGGAACGGTACTCAATCAATTCCAGTGTGATCATCCGGCTGCTAACGGGAACGGGATACAATCAGGCATCCCGCTGCAGGTAGGAGCGGTATTCAATCATCTTCAGTGTAACCATCATGCTGCCAACGGGAACGGGACTCATAAGTGAATTTCAGATTTGACAATCCCGCTGCTAGCGGGAACGATATACAGTCTAGCATCCCGCTGCTAGTTACCTTACCTTTGCTGGGGCCAGTTGCTTTACTTATGGTGATAAGCCAATCAAGGTTGCCCTTGATCAGACAATCAGGCATTTCAAATATTGGCGGGACCAGTTGCTTTACTTATGCTGATCAGCCAATCAAGGCTGTCGTTGATCAGACAATCAGGCATTTCAGATATMGGYGGGGCCAGACACTTCTGTTGATTAGGGAATCAGGCTTTACTAGTACCTTCACTCATCAAGCGCCCCTGAGCAGTCGGACCTTCCCGCTGTTGGCGGCCGAACCATCTTACCTTGGCTGATTGGGCAGTCGAGCATTCCCGCCGCTGGCGGGTCCATTTACTTCATTTTCGCTGTGTGGCTAATTGAGGAGCTTTTGCGAACCAGCCGGTCAAGGTTGATGCACATCAGCCAATCAAGGGTCGTCGTTGATCAGATAATCAGATACACCCAATATCGGGGGGAGGGGGGGCAGACGCTTAGTCATTCCCACAGTCGGCGGGGGCAGCCCCTTCCGCGACTCCGACCAGACAGGGAGTGGGGCGAGAGGTAAGACTTTGGTCTCAATCTTGGTACCTGCATGCAACTCGCACGGTCAGAGAGCGCAGGCCTGCAAGAAAAACTATTCCTTTTTACTGTGTTTATTTAAATTTTGAGCGCAGGCCTGCAAGAAGAACTATTCCTTTTTACTGTGTTTATTAAAATTTTGAGCGCAGGCTACAGATCGGGGAGGGTCATGGATTAAGTTCCTGCTCAGAGAGAGAGAGAGAGAGAGAGAGAATGAGAATGCACAGATTGAGAGATAGAGCGTGCATAGAGGGAGAGAGGGAGAGAGTGCATCGAGCGAGAGAGAGGGAGTGCACAGGTTGAGGGCAAGAGAGTGCACAGAGTGAGAGAAAGAGAGAGAGTAAGGGATGAGTGTGTGAGGGTCTCAATCTGGAAGTAATTGTGTGAAGGATAAGCGAGATTGCATCCGAGTTAAAATTGGTCTGCATAGCAACAGTAAATGGGAATACTGACTGAGCTAGGCTCATTGACAAGATGAGGCAATTAGTGAGTGCATGCTCCCA